CTTGAGACGGCTACCTCCGTAGTCTAATGGCGTCCTTGTTATTCTCCCTCAATGCGGGCCTTGTGAACCTGTAAGGGCATATATCCACATAATTAACTAACCTATCTGATTCGCTCGCCTCGCGCTTCCTCCGATGCCCACACTCTCCCCTTCTGACCCTCTCACTATCGATCTTCAGAACATGGTATAGGGTCGCTGGCACGAGAACATAACACACGCGACAATTCTCTCACAAGAGAGATGACACGGCTAATCCGCACACGATGCAACACAGGGAAAGGCACCTCGACAATTGGCGAATCCTCTGTGTTATACAGGAGGAAGGAGGCAGTCTCTGTTGAACAAGCGAGATTTGTATAAACATGGAGTGCGACGCATCTCGACTCGTATGTATGAGCCACCTCGAGCTGCATTGATTCGTCACGCTGGGCGGCAACTGTTGAATGCCTGAACTGTCGACGGTCTCGCGAGCTCGAGTACATCAAACCCGAAGTCTACTCGAGATCCTTCTCTCGGTCTTGAGATTTTTCGCTGATTTCACGAGGTCGTCCGTTTCCGCGCCTGTTTGGCAACCCTGGCATCACGATCCTTGATGGGTGCCTTCGGGCCTATGCACTGACCCATCTCAGTCCTTGATCAGAATCCACATGCCACTTCCCCGCTTTAACCTTCGGTTACTGCGGATTCAATTTTCTCAACTCGGTCGTTTACAGAAATTACTCTGTAGTGATCCATTTCACCGTTATTACACTCTCGACGCGATTCCTCGCGACCCTCCGCATTACTCGGGTTCAGATGGACGACAGTCTCCACTCCAAGCTCCTGGGCTAACTACATTTACAGTCCTCAAGCCATCAGTGCACATGACTCTCTCTCTGTACGTCTCCGTCTATAATCGGATCGAGACTGGCAGACTCAATCGCGCCATTGACTCGATTTTGGAAAGGGTTGGGAGTCAGGAGAAAAGAAGAAAGTTTTAGATTTGGAACTGTACTAGTAAGTGGTGGGGAACCCGACATCAGCGTTTTGATTTTCATTTCGCCATTCAAAGCCATTGCCGGTGCCTCCGTTGTCGTACGGCTGCGTCGTGGCAACCTCAACCGAGGTCGAGTGCAGAGATTCCCAAATAGGACATGAATCTTTTCACAGTAGGCACCAATGCAACATAACGTACAGGTAGTCCATTGTAATATACCTTCTACTGACACAAAGAACGAGCCGGTAAATTTACACAGTCCGCTTTATGGGGTATGCAACCCGAAAATTTCCAACGCCTCGCTGCATCTGCCCGTTGGGTCTTATTACCAAACGCTGCCGTGTATGGTTGCGCCCGATGATACCAATAGATCAATCAGATTCACTCGCGTTCGTGATGTCAGGTTCTCATTTGTTCGTAAGGCCTGGTCCCAAGGTTCGGTATCGTCTGACATGCCCGTTACCTCGGATCTCGTACTACCTTGTGCAGTAAAAAGAAAAGGAGCACCTGGTGTCATCTGCAAAAGTGTGGGGCTCTGTAAAGCGAGGATGGATTCAATGCTTTTGCCGTGAACGAGTGATATCAGCGTATTGAGTTGCTACAGAATGACGGATAGAAAGGCACACGCCTACCCGAAGCCAATCGTCAAGCTGGAAGATATGGCTTTGAATAGAGTGCACGGCTGATGCGAAAAACACTCTTCCCGTTCAATGGCGACGGGATCAACCGTGCACAATAGACAAGCCCCCCCTCTAATCATCAGGCAAGTTCATCATCGGCGGACGAGGCGCTTACGAGATCACTGGCGCACAGTCTCTGAAATCTCCTTTCCAAGCCGCGGGCCAGCGTCCTTGAGCAACGAAGAGAAAATGGCGTTAGGTATGGTGTCCGAAGCAGCTGAGGCGAAGTGGTCATTGGCTGGGGAGCCGATTGACTGATCATGAGGACGTTCAA